ACTAATGCCCTTTTAAAACTTTATTAAAATCATCTGGATATACTCAACCTAATAAAAGCAGAGTACACGGCTGGTGGACTTCCTGCAGCTCTGGGTCTAGAGCAAAAAGAGGCTTATGTGATATCCTACATTTGAAATTGTGGAGAAAGATATGTTCGTGGCCTAAGTAAATAATGTGGTTTATGAAGCAGAGTCACAAATAGCGTCCCTGCTCCATTTCTGTCGGCGTGACTTTTTGCATGCCTTTGGCATTCTGCCTCACGTGGTGTCTCCATTCTCTGTGTGTCTACGTATGTCAGTGCTGTTTTATTGGGGCTGCCGCCTCTTCCGTTCATTCGAAGACCTTTCCCGTCTCCGTTCAAGCGAGGTCAATTCCGAAGTGAACCTGTGTACAAAGAGCTGGATCACCCCAAGCTAGAGAAGCATTTCCGTGTTCCCTTCCCAAGAGGCAAGCTGTGCCTTCATCATAATTGGCTTCTGCTTAATCTAGCCATTTTAATGGTTAATTATAAATAGGAGCTCTAGGAGGGATGGGACAGCCGTATTTAAATGAGGTCACTCAGGTATCCGAGCACCTTTCTGGGGCATTGTGATCTTTTCCTGACTTTTTGCTCAAAGGGGTCAAATAATTTGCACCTGATTGTTGCGTTACTTTAGAATAATCGCCCCCACTGTTAATGAAAGGTGTACATACAGGTAAATTCACGCAAACACATGCCTCTACCAAAAGCCAGCATGCAACCTCAATTACACTTGATTCCGGGGCTCTGAAATGCAAAGGAAAACACTGCACACAGTGGGGTAAAACTCCTGTACAACAGGGAGCTAGGAGGAAGTCTTGAACAGCATTACTCCAGCCAACATACACAAGCTTAACATTACTTTTTGAACCTATGGCCATGTGCATTAAAGATGAATATCTTGCCCATGAAAAATTAATGTCCCAGAGCTCACAGTACCGTTGTTTCTTTGTGAAATGGAGTATGCAGAATGTCTTTTAAAAATGCAGCCTTTTGGTGAATAGATTGCTTTTCCTCTTTTGGCTTCCGCTGGTAGTTGGATAGGACCCTAAAGGAGTGTTAAGTAAAGGAGCAAATAGTTATAAAAGCGCTCACCAGATTCACAGGAACATGGGAGTGGATGGAGGCAGTGTGTGAGACCAATTTTCATCATCACGTGAAGCAAACAAGATGTCTCTCGTCCTATTTTTGTTTCTTGATCTTTTGAAAAGGTATATGCTGATTTCTCTTTTCTCGGCCAGCAGATTGACTTTTAAACAAAGAAGACTCTTTTTGAAGGCCGAAAGAAGAAGAACTCCACTAAGGAGGGCAGAGCTGGCCTGGGGACCCTGTGAGTTATCAGGTAAATGTTATGTCTGGAGCACAGACTGAGATAACCAAGCCTCGTGGGGCCTTGGATCAATTTAATTCTGATGAATGACCAGTTTGGTAAATATTATTTACATTACTACACAAGTCGGGTCTGTTCCATTCATGTTTGAACAACCCACACGGTCTGCTGTGGCATAGCCTCTCCAGTAATCCCCACGGACTGGCTTTCCCCACTGTTAACTCACAATTAGAAGGATAATTAGTAATGAGGGCGCTTTGCTTTTGAACTAAAAATGAAAACATGAGTGAATAGCTCAATAATCTAGAATTTCAGCAATTCTTGAACCGCAGACCTCAAAACTATATTCTCTGAGATCTACAAAGATGGTAGGATGACTTTTAAAATTTTTCTTCTACTTCTGTTTAAGGAATAACATTGCTAAACAAACAGTTCAGGATTTCAAAAGGCAAGAATGTCAACCATAGTTCTATCCCTTTCATACACGTTTTTCTTTATCAGCATTTTCTATCGCTCTTTATTTACATGTATTCATTTATCCATTGACTCACTCATTCATTCTCTAAGTCTTCTTAAGCACTAACATGTGTCGGCCAGTGGTTTAGGCCAGAGATCAGCAAACATCTTCCATGATGGGCCACGTAGTAAAAGACTGAGATTTCCAGGGCCACCCAGGCTCTGTTACAACTGCCCAGGTCAGCCATTGTAGGGCAAAGACAGTCATAGACAATATGTGAACAAAGATGGCTGGTGGTGTTTCAATAAAGCTTTATTTACAAAACAGGCAGCGTGTCAGATTTGGCCAGCTGGCCATGGTGTGCCAAACCCTGCCACAAGGCCATGGAATTATCGAGACAAACAAAATAGGCAAAATCCCATTGAACATACATTGCAATTGGGGGAGCCAGGTAATAAATACCAAGCAAATAATTTCAGAGAGTAACTAGTACAACAAAGGAAATGTATTTCTTATATTAGAATGATAGTATACCTCCAGTATGGTGCCCTCCTTTACTGAATTGAATATTATTTTGTGAATGTTTTCTACACAGCCACACAATCTTCATATTTACTAGCCTCACAATATATTGCCTAGTTGCTATACCATATTTTTTAATGTTTTATTTATTTATTTTTGAGAGAGAGAGAACGGGCCGCAGGTGTGGAGGGTGGCGTGCAGAGAGAGGGAGAGAGAGAATCCCAAGCAGGCTCCACACTATGCCTGATGCAGGGCTCAATCCCACAAACCATGACATCATGACCTGAGCTGAAATCCAGAGTCAAATGCTTACCAACTGAGCCACCCAGGCGCCCCAAGTTGCCATTCCATATTTCACTGAATCCTTCCTCTATGTGTATATTTAGCTAAACCTAATTTATGAGCATACAAATGGAGGGAGCAAATAAATGAAGGTGTTCATCTTACAGTAAACTTTTTTCTAATTCTTTGTTTCTGCTTTGGACATCTAAGTCCAATAACTCTAGATCAGGAAAAAAGCAGACACGAGGAAGTTGAATGTAAAAAGTGTTTGCCCTGTGCTAAAAAATTTGTCAGTGTCAGATATCCTGCAGTTTCAGGATGGTCCTGCACATCAGGATCCAGAAGCCTCGACTGTTTTGAAGAAAGGGAGCAAACAAGTGGGAACCTCACACTTCTGTTCAGAGCCTGTATTTTGCCCCCGCCCATTAGCCCCTCACAAGTAGTATATTGGAAACAAAATCTCTCAGAGAAAGATGCTCACGTTCAAATGCATCATGCATTGATTGAGTGCTGACTGGATGCAAAGCACAGCACATGGCCCTTTTTATGGGAATATTTAATGAATGTGACAAAGCCCCTTCTCTCCAGGTGGACACAGGGACCTGCAGGGATAGGATAGCTTCAAACCCATATCAAGTGATAAAATATATGGAAGGTAAACCCTATTCCCTTCTGCTTAGTATCCAGAGTAGAGAAAGAAAATGCATGGGACCACGACCTCTCTTTCAGAAGTATTGGCTCCTAACGTGCTCTTCTCCTTGGGAAGAAGAGTAACCTCTTTGATAGGAGGGACTGGAGAACATGGGGGTGCCATGCTTTCTGTATTCTGTATTCTTTTTGTCGATACTGATAGCGACAAACATATATTACTGGAGTTTCTATATGCCAGAGAGCAACATTTTCATCTATTCAACCCCCATGACAGTCCTGTGAGGTGGTACCATTACCATCCGCTTCTTAGAGATGACAAGACTGTCACAGAAACGTTGTGAGCTGGGTATTTCTTGGCTAATGAATGGCACGGCCAGGTTCGCTCACGTGTCCAACGCCACGATCAGAGCTCTCAACTTCTCTGCTCTGTGACTCACCTGAGGGGTCGGCTCTGTTCTGCCATGATGTCAGCCAACCTGGGAAGGGACAGTGTCCGGGCCGCTCCCCTCTTTGATGGAGGCAAAAAAGCAATTTCCATGTTTCCTGGGCTTAGCTATACCAATTGCTAGATTTGGTAGAGGTGGACAGAAAATCCAGTCCATGTTCTTCCAATTAGCAATGTCAGCTACAAAACTAATCCTTTCATCTCTCTTGGTTTAATTCCTGTATCTATTTTCTCGAATTTTGGTTCTCAATTTAGAGGGAAAAGGATGTGATTCTTACCGTAAACCTCTAACATATGTACGGCTAACAGTAGTAAGCAACAGCAGCTAACAATGATTATGGTAGAGCAGTCATTGTGCTAAATGGTTTAGTTATGTATTGGCTCTTTGAATTTTCACTGCAATCCCAAACGAATTGGTACTACATATTATGGAAAAGGAAAGAGGGCTTAAATTTTAGTCTGTCAAATATCCCCAAACGAGTCAGTACTATATGTTACAGAAGAGGAAAGAAGGATTCACTTTTAGGCTGTCACATAGGCTTCTGGTAAATAAAAAGGGAATGACCATTTTATTAGCTACATGGCATATTAATAGGCAAACCCCACACTTGATTGCGGTGGTCTTTGATGTTAACATCAAATAATTCTGCCTCGAGAGAGACAGTATGAGCAGGAGAGGGGCAGAGAGGGAGGGGGGGAGACACAGAATCCCAAGCGGGCTCCAGGCTCAGAGCTGTCAGCACAGAGCCCAACGCGGGGCCCGAACCCAGGAACTGCGAGATCATGACCTGAGATGAAGTCAGACGCTTAATCAACTGAGCCACCCAGGCGCCCTCTTCCGATATTTCTTAGGACGAAGACCGAAATCCTCAACACTGCCTTCAAAGCTCTGGAAGGTCTGTCCCCTGTCTGCTTCTGCAGCCCCATCTCCTCCCGCTCCCACGTCTGCACCCCGTCTACACTGGTCCGGTTCAGTTCTGGGGCTATCTCATGCTACTTCTTGATCTTCCCTATCCCAGTTTCCACATCCACGCACATTCTTGTCTTTTAGGCCCCCCCTTCAAAGTTACTTCCTCAGAATTTCTTACCTGCCAGCCTAGATCTCCGTGTGAGAGGTCCATATCCTATCCTGTTCCTATACTTCAGAGGACTTATCTCAACTTGTATTTGTTTGCTTTTGTGGGTTTTTTTTTCCGACTTCATTTAAATAAAGCTCCGTGAGGGCAAGATCCGAATCTGTCTTGCTCACCACTCCGCTCTCAGTGCCCAGCACAGTGCCTGGCACATACTCACCCAGTACATATTGTTGACTCGGGGCCCCAGGATGCAGTTGTACAGGCTGTGTACTGCCCAGCTCCAGGGGCGCCATCCACACAGACGATATCAGTGATGCTGCCTGGATGGAATGAAAGAAGGAATAAATAATGAGTAAACAAAACCACTGATACTGAATTGTGTTATTGCGGTGGGGCACCCGGGTGGCTCGGTCGGTTAAGCGTCCGACTTCAGCTCAGGTCATGATCTCACAGTCTGTGGGTTCGAGCCCCACATCGGGCTCTGAGCTGACAGCTCAGAGCCTGGAGCCTGTTTCGGATTCTGTGTCTCCCTCTCTGTGCCACTCCCCCACTCATGTTCTGTCTCTCTCTGTCTCTCAAAAATAGAGAAATTGTAAAAAAAAAAAAATGTTTTTAAAAAAAAGAATCGTGTTGTTGCGGAACATGATATTTGACATCCAGTATTTCCTAAAAACCGTAAAACCCCAGGTAGTTACATACGCCTTGCACGTATGTTACACGGAAGCAGTTATTTGGGCATTTTACGTGTTCCGAATGAGATCTTTTTTGCTCTCCTCTGAGAGAGCACTTTTTTTCATACTCTTGAACTTGGTCCACAACCCTCCAGGTGCCAGTATAAAGTCCCACTCTGGCTTCTTAATTGTACAGGGATCTCATTTGTAACTTGCAGGTGAAAAAGCACTAAAGCTGTATTCCATTTGTGAGTCAAAGTGTGTTTTGAATATAGGATTCTTATTCAATGGGACCCTTGGGTAATATCTGTAATGTATTATAATATGCTGGTAAAATATATACAACCCTCGGGGGAAGAAAAAAGTGACACCCCAAAGAAGATGATAGATCACAGTATTGAAAGCTGGGGTAGCTGGCACAGGGGACTTTAGATAACTAAGTGTCTATCGGAGATAATAAATCTTGGCCATGATACCAGTCTCCAAGTCTTGCCACACATCTCTACTCTGTTTATTACCCCAGGCTTCCCTGCAGCAGAAACGGAGCCATGATTATTACTAATGCCATTTATTAATAAACTTATAAAGGGTAGTGGCTTAAAAAAGTAAAATGGGAATTCTTTTGCATGAATTTGGGTTGGGTGAAGCGTGTTTGTTTTTTTTTTTTTAACTATTTATTTTTGAGACAGGGAGAGACAGAGCATGAACAGGGGAGGGTCAGAGAGAGAGGGAGACACAGAATCGGAAGCAGGCTCCAGGCTCTGAGCCCTCAGCCCAGAGCCCGACACGGGGCTCGAACTCACTGACGGTGAGATGGTGACCTGAGCCGAAGTCGGACGCTTAACCAACTGAGCCACCCAGGTGCCCCAAAGCGTGGTTTTTTAAGACCAAGAATTGCTACATCATCCCCAATACTTGTCACCACTTCAAAATCCTTGAATCTCAAGTTTCTGCATTCTCCAAAGAGACTATCAGGTCCCCGAGGACAAGACCTAGGCCTTGAATTTGTTTTTGTATCTAACTTACATGCACTGACAGTGCCTTGCACAGAGAGAGTTGGCAGGTCTTGAAACTGAAGTAATGACTCAGTGAAATCATTAAACCAAATGGCTTAATTAAACCTGAGCTAAAATGCCACACTACCCCTAAAACATTGGTTTTTCAAACTAAGAACAGAATATTGACTTGGGCAAGTTTCTCATCTCGAGTTAACCCTGGAGACAGTAGGTGCCCTGACGCGCCACCCGTAAACTTCCTTCGGGGTTGAAGGACTTATCCTCCCTGCTAGAAAGCACCCTTGGTTGTCTGCCCACCTTGGGAAAAGACCGCTGAGGGACGCTACCTTGCCCTCTGCCAGTACCTGGTCAACACCACTGGAAAGGCCAGGCCTCCTCTCTCCAACTCAGGACGATGTCGCAGGGTCTCCCCAGCTCCAGAGCTCCCACTGGGGTCTGCTGAGCTTTTGCTGAGAATGCAGAACAGCCCAACCTCTCTCTCTCTCTCTCTCTCTCTCTCTCTCTCTCTCTCTCTCTCTC